TATCGTTTGAACTATTTAGTGATTTTACAATGATACATAACTAGATGTATTTAGACAATTTATGTTGACATTAAACGTGTTGTTTCTGTGTGACATGAAATAAATTTCTTAAGTTCACTTCAACACAGTAAATGACCCCGTGTGTTTTGTAAACAAAATTTGCGTCTACAAATCAAATAAAGTTAAACACTTCATAAATCATTATGTCCTGACGTTTTAAAGTTGTTTTTTTAGATTATTTGATATATCTACCCAGAAATAGTGTATCATTAGACGTAAAATAGTGTAGTTCAATAGCATTCTCTGTTTTCATTCATTCAGTATTGTTTGTTTAAATTTTCCCATCGATGTGTTAGGACTGCAACTGGTCAATTAGGACTTAACGGCCGAGTGGATAACGCGATGGCGTTTGAAGCAAAAGTTACTGGGTTATAGACCCAGAGTGAACATCAACTCTGAAATGCAGGTACATCCAGTTGGCGAGTTCGAAATAGGACGAAACGCGTGGCCTGGATTTCTGTGCTAGCCATTATCTATCTTTGCTTACAATTCTCTGTTTTCGATCACTTTTTATTTATAAGTCCATTGCAGAACCTTTCTGAACAATTGAAAACTTAGATGTAGGAAAAACGAGTACCGAATGCAATGCTCACTTATTGACCTCCACAACAATCTTTCCATTATAGAAGGACTTAGTAATTACAATCTTCCTCCGTGTATTTTCACAACTTGAAATTATCGTAACTAGATAATATAATGGTATTATTATGATTATCAATCACGTAAAAGAACGAAGAACTTAATTAGTACCCATATCACTTTACCATTTCTTACCGCGAAAGCTGGTCAGCGGCCTATGCTCCATTGGGAGTACCAGGCGTAAGTAAAGTAAAGTAAAAGTATTTCTTGCCGCGTTCATATCACTCTACAGAGTATGTAATCTTCAACCAAACATCTAGTCGGAGTTGAAATCACATTATTATTTCTCTTACCCTCATGTTATCTATAAATACTGTGATTTTTAGTCTTATGATTTCATTTTATTTATAAAATTATTCATCATAAGATTATTTACTAGTGGTCACTAACTTTAATTCATTCTAACAACAATCATCAATTCACTACCTGAAATTTTTAAATGCTGTATTTCTCTTAAACACAGTTATCCGTTTGTTACTCTAATTTTAATGTATAACTGAAAACCTGTTGGCGACCTTCTTGAATATCTGGTCTATCTGTTCCTGTCATCTAGATATTTCGAAAACTTTTCTGTTTTTTGTTTGTTTTAACATATGTCAATTTACAGCACAACCTATTCAAGTGTGTTAATGAAAAGTTAACAACCTCTATCTGTAAAAGTTACAACAAAATACAATCGGAGACGTTGTTGTGTCTGACGGTAGGAATTGAAAAGCATGAAGATAATTCAGATGTCGATTCCTGAACTGCTCACATCCTACTGTAGATCCCCGAATGTTTATTGTCAGAATCGATCAAGAGATAATAAAAGGAATTTTATTGTAATACATTGTGCTGAAACTTCTATAATGTACAGAAAAAATAATATTGAATAGTCATTCATAACAATAAATAATAATAAAATGATGAGAAATTATTGAAAATGGTATAGTTCGTCTAGAAGAATTAGTATTTTAAATAAAATTAAGTTTTTTAACCAGTCAATGTATAGACATAGGACAGATGAAAAAGTATGGCGCATACCTATTGAATGTGAGTTGCATAAAAACATTTGATTTTAAGAATACGCATTCTTATTTTTTCACCTGGATCTAAACTAAAGAGTACAGTCTTTCCAATTTGTTTAGCTTTTTAACTACAGTTAAAAAGTGAACTCTTGAGAGATCTCAGGAGAAAAAGTGATGTCTTTCTTTTGATGTTTTTGCGGTATCGTGATTTTATTTCTATGCAAAAATATATTATTTCTAAAGTCAGCGATCGACAATAAAGTTTATTGTTTTGGTATCATTTTAAACGTTTTGATTCTTTATTTGAGAACTTATTGTTCACTTATGTAGTTGATAATGGTAAACCATGATTTACTACTAAATTTTTTTTAAAGTGTAGTGAGAATGTATGTTACATAACGAAAACTTCAAATTCCAATATGCTTTAAAAATTAAAATTATGAAAACAGCATGTTACTCTGTAATGGGCAATAAACAGTATAAATAAGCAAAACGAAATACAATTAGTACTGTTCGTTTGAATCTTCTCATTGATGCTTAGGACTGCAACTGATCAGTCTCTTATCGGCCATATGTACATACTGTGCTAAATGAATTCAAACTTCACCCCATTGCACAAGCAAGCGGCTATCAGGACTCAGTAGCTCAGTGGATAACGCGATGACGTTTGAAGCGAACGCTACCGGGTTTGAGTCCCAGAGTGAACATCAACTCTGAGATGCAGATACATCCAGCTGACGAGTCCCGAATAGGACGAAGTGGTACGCGTCCTGGATTCCACTGCTAGCCACTATCCATCTTTGCTTAAAACGAAATACAGTTAGAAATAAATTATTTCTTGAGCTCATATGTCATGTTTTTTTATTTTTATTTTAATTGATTAAAATTACCAATATTTTTTAAGTTTGATTGCTTTTACAAGTAAGTTACCTAGATTCTTGAAGTGAATTTCAGCAGACTATTTTTTGATATTTACCTTGTTAAAAGCTTTCTTCATATAAAATATATTATTCAAATGAAAGCTTATCTATAGTATATTGCCATCTCTAATAAAAGTACATACTGTTAGTTGACACCTAGAATGATCTTATGAAATATCAGAAGGAAAAAAACGCTTCATCGTAACTTGATTGTATCCACAGTAGTTACTGTGGATGTTTCATTCCAGTTACATTATATTTTATACTTAAATGAATATTAAGTTATACAGTAAAGTTTTGTTTAATTGTTAATAAATTGAATTTCCTACCAGCCTTTTTTTCAGTATTAAGAATAAACAAACCTGACAATCAATCAAAAATAGCCACGTTTTTTTTCTTCATTAGACATTTGCTTAACTTAACTCAAGAAATGAATCAGACTATTAGATTCAAGAAAACAAGAAAATATATTCAGTAAAATCTAACGTCTTAAAAGAAAAAAAAACTAAATAGATTTTGATTTTACAGTTTGAAAATAAAATTATCCAAAGATTTATAATTAAATAAAAAAACAAAAAAAACAAAAAAACAAAAAAAAGAAAAAACAAAAAAAGAAAAAAGAAATAGCATGAATTATTTGTATGAAACTTCATTAGGTCTAAATTCTTAACAAACAAAAAATAGCAATCAATGTTTTGATCGAAAATGAAGATAAAAATCTAGTTGTACAAGTTTTTGACAATTAAAGAAAAGTATCCCTTTGAAAAATTGAAAAAAAAGAAAGAAAAGTTGTATAAAATCATTCTATATGAAGAGATCAAACTAACATCATTTTCTATAGATCGGTATATTACAAAACAGTTCTGTTACTAAGTTCATTGTTTAATGATTTAAAAGAAATCTTATAAAGTAACTATTTAACTAGTTATGAAAATAAATATCGGAAACAAACAGGCTATTCCTGTCCAATTTTATTTAAGTGTATACAGATGAAAGCATATTTTTTAATTGAAGTTTTATGAGGCTTCAAAACTACTACTATTAGTTAAATGTAATTGATAATCTCTTTAAACAGTATTACACGTTTCGTTTACATTGATCAGGTCATTAATTAATTGATTTTTGTTATATTTCAATCATCATCATAGAATAAGTATGAAAATATTATTTCTGTTGCTTCCTAATATTAGTATAGTTTCTAAATAGATTTTCAAAATATTACAAGGTGTCTTATGTAACTGTAAAACATTTCACTTTATGGTTGAAATCATGAGTCAATTGAAGCTAAACTACCATGGTAGACCTGGAAGCACTGGACGGCCGTTTCGTCCTATCGTGGGACTCCTCAACAGTGCGCATCCACAGTCTCGCCTCGCGAATAATGTTTACTCATTAATTTATATGTTACTGGATAAAGTGATCAAAATAACAATGCGAAATAAATATATAAAATGATGTTTGTATCGAAATTTGTATCATCAGCAAATAATACAGAATAAATTGTGCTTTATTGTTTTTGAAAAACTCTTTATGCATGTTTTAGTATGAAAATTGTCACTTTGATGTATTAATTCTTTACGCAAACTCGACATTAAATTTCTGAGTCTATCAATCGTGTATTTCTGAATAATATACAAAATCTCTTATCGTCATTTGACTCATTCATTAGCTGAAGAAAGTAGTTCTTTAAAATATTTACAACAGTAAACTTTAAGAAACATTCTTTGGTAATTTTATTACTGCATCTATTCACACTACACTCTTTAATATCTTAAAAATGGTTGCCTAAGACAATTTCAGGCAAACATCGAAACATGTAAATTTCAAAAAAACCAGAATTCAGAAACATAGTTCAACAGATTATCGTATTTGGTTTAATAATACAGCACAACTAGATTTGTTTTATGGGAAAACAGTCAAAAAATTCTTATAGAAGTTTTATTTTCTTAGCTTCCAATAAATCTTTAGATTGTTTCATTTGTTAGGACTGATTTGCTACACAACCACATAAGGAATTTTCGCTAGGATGGAAATTATTTTTCATGTCACTTTTTTAAACAAAATGTATATTCGTGAAACTCTTCCCATCATACAATCAAACATCTAAAAAATGCATACTCATCACACCTAAAACAACATATTAATATGAGTAAAATTCTATAAAGTTTTATACTGTGACTGAAAAAAGCTAATCATCTGAACTGATTGCTGTATAGAGAAGATATTCAATCAGAAAAACTGAAAAAGAAATGGCTTAAGCAAACAAATTTTATGTATGAGTTTGTTCCTAAATTTGACCAATCATATTTAATCTAGAAGTTATGACTATAATTCTTCAGCTACGTTGATTGGTTTATTTCGTTCACCTTGAGAGAAACAATATGGTAAATTAAGAAACGAGGAAGTATCCTAACAAATTGATTATAAAAATAATATCTTAACATTCCTTAGTCATTATATATATATTTTCAATGACATAATAACTAGCAAATAGTAATGATGATGATAGAATAAGATTAACTATTTTGATTATGATCTTATACCACAGTTTAAGGGTTTGTTTCTACCTACTGATTTGTAAAGCAAAGAATGTCTATTAAATCTTAACTCTCCCTATCGATAGATATGAATTTATAAATTTGGAACACAATTAGTTTTATATTCCTTGACAAACATTTTCTTTTTATGCATGTCAGTGATTATCTAAATGAAAAAGGATTTATTGTGGAAATTTATTTTACTTTTCTGTTTAAAAATGAATTATTCCATGTTTCAAGATCATATTATCATATGGGATATCAATAATAAATTGTAAGTTTTATTTTATTTAATTTACAACTTTCATTACTGAAGTATTTGTTATGAAATTAAATGAATAATGAAATCGGGTATTTGTTCTATGTGACGTATGCTTATCATTATTACGAATTTTTGAAAATGATTCATTGTAAGCAAAGATGGATAATGGCTGACAGTGGAATCCAGAACGCGCGTTTCCTCCTATTTGGGACTCGTCAGATGGATGTACCTACATCTCAGATTTGATGTTCACTTTGTGATTCGAACCCAGTACCTTTCACTTCAAACGCCATCGTGTTATCCACTGAGCTTGTGCAATGGGGTGAAGTTTAAATTCTATTAGTATTGAATTTAAATTATTCATTGTTTAAAGGTAATGTACGTCAGATCCACTAATAATTTTGAATGCAATTTTTGAAACAGCTGAATATGTTTCATTTACATCCCATTTACAGCACAATAGTTATTGAATAAAGATAAAGGTTGATAACACGATCAGTTAGTTAACAGCATGGCAACTGGTCGCTATTAAAAGTCAACAAAATAACTTCTAACACTGCTCATAGATTGGATTATTTTGGACCGTAATATCTGTAAATTTTAGCTTACCAATAAAAACTTATAACCTTTGAAAATAAATGTTGACGTTCATTTCTCATAAAAGATGTGTCATACTTGGAAAATATCTGTGTATGTATAAAATATCATTGTCTTAATCAAAGTCCAATGTCTTGACACATAAGTATTATTTCAAATTTCAAGTTTAACCATTAAATAAACAATATTTTATCATCAAAAGTTAATTACATATGTGAAAGCTGTATAACGAAAGTATGCTGGACTAGACATCGATATATATTTGCTTTAAATTTATATATGAACCAATCTATAGTCCTTTGTAATCGGGAAAGAAAATGATAAAGACTTATTAACTTTGTACTCAGCAATAACATGTATGAATGTAACGAATAGCGGATAAGCAAAGTGATTAATTAAATGAATGACCAAACTCCGGTTATTTTAAAAAATCCTGTAGCGAATTAGCGTTTTTCTGATAAAACAAAAATTAATTTCAGTCTTAAAATAGAACGCTAAAAATGACCCATAAGGCAACAATTTTTCCATTGGATTTAAAATAACTGATGACTTCAGTTTAATAAAAAATTAGTTTGTGTACGGAATAATTTTGATCATTCAAAATGAAAGCATTACGTCAACTAATGGATAATGTTTTATTTAGATAATGAGTCTATTGTTGTTAGACCAGTACTGAAGACTTGGATTCAGTGGACGGCCGTTTCGTCTCAGCGTGGGACTCTGCAGTAGCGCGTATCCGTGATCCCGCTCGCGGGATTCGAAATCAAGGTCTTCAGTCTCGCGCGCCAACGGTTAGCCTCCAGACCAGTGAGCCGGCATATTTAGAAATCGAAGCTAAATACATGATATCAATTATACGTCCAAATTGATACACTATGATATATGCTACGAATAAATTTTAATTAGTGATTGCTATGTGGTATAAACTTTCGACTGATTATACAGAGTAGTGTAGATTGTAGAAGCACCGGACTTGATGACTTATATTCGAATAAAACGTCTTGTACCAATCTGGAGATGGATATTAAAGACTCCTGTAATAATTATTTGATCCTAATTGAAAACAAGTAAGAAAATTTAAGTAGAAGGTAGAAATGGGATTCTAATTAAATATAAATTACATTTAATGGTTTAAAACTGATTTATGTTTCTGAAACAATGATATGTGTAAAATTTTGAAAGATGTCACGCGTTTATTCACTGATCACAACAAATAGTACACAGGTATAATAATGTTCATTCTAATTGATGTTATTTAAGAAAGAATTTTTGAAAACTTCATATTTCTATGAACATTATTATTAATTTTATAATACATTTTGCAAATTTACATAGTATCATGGAGTCAAATACCTTTTAAATAAAACATTAGTCACTAACACGTCATACTATAAAACTAATGTAAACGTCTGGATAATGTGAAAGATTTAATAAGTTCAATTTTGGCAAATTAACACCCTCTTTACATAAACAGCTTCATTGCTTTAATAACCTAGATAATTTCCTAAAATATAAGATATTATAATGATATGAATCCAAACAATGAATGTAGTTAGTCAACTGTGTATGTTCAAAATCTATATTATCCATGATAAAAAAGATTACTCTTCAATTGGATGAAATATATATTTATCTTTTAATCGATCACAGCAACACACTCCTTCATTTTTTGTAATTAAAAATGATATTGTGCAGATGATACATTGTGTAATACAGAGATAAATGTATATGATATAGGGAATAAATACAAAGTGTTTTCTTTTTTTTTTGATAAAACATTTGAAATGCTTACAAATTTGCCTGGAGATAATTTTGTAGGGTAAAAGATATTAGGTTGTAAAATGACTGGCAATCGAATTGTGTTCTGTCTAGAATTATCACGTTAGTTTTACAATGTGGCTTTCTTTTTCTGTATATAATGTTTGTTTGTTAACATGTTCATCTCTTCCGCTATATAGAAAACAAATATGAACAAAAGCACTAGTAATATCATCGTATCTACTTCGAAACAGTTAATATTGGCTTGTAGTATGGTTGTATAAATACGCTGATAAGATATCATTGTCAGGTTTTTTTCTTAGATTTAGAGATATTTCGTTTTTTTAATGATATTGGTCATAGTTAGCAATAGTATATGGCATGAAACACATTCGTTCTTTATATTAATGAAATTAAATGCTTTCATAAGTAAATTATATAACTTACAATTTTGTGATGATAGGTACATATACTGATCAACTATTATAGTAGCTAATAATTCAAGTAAAGTATAATGCATTAAAAATACTGTGCGAAATTGTATCAAAAATATTGTAGAAGATATATATTTCCATAAGAGTTATTTTTTTGATTTACGGCATGGTCCATATATTTCTGCGAATTCAGAATTATCATAAATGACCGTTGATAATGTTCACCTAAATGTATTGTAAACTTTCAGTAATCACATGACCGAAGTGTTTAACCCAACTCACATGTGAATGGTAATGCACACACATTACGAAGATAAAAAAACAAGCACCTGAATGTTTTATTTAGGATAATCTTACCTACCTATTTCTCCGTGAATACAACTGTTTTATGAGCTTAAACTAATAAAAAAAACCTGCCACTGCAACCACTTTTGAAAAGCCATTGAAAACATTGATTCTCGACTTTATTTACATTCCAGATACAATACCTTATTAATGTATGCTTTATTTTTTAAAGTTTCAATTTGTAATATTATTCCTAGGTAAATTTAATAGCCTCCGTGTAGCTGAAGAAAGTGTAGCCGAAATATAATGTATTCATTTCGTTCTAATAATGATGTTGCTCTCTCCTTGCATCGAAAATGTTTTCAATTTTCGATCATCAGTTATGAGTCGGCTTTTTGTAAGATTGTTGGAAATGCGGACAGATAGTTTGTAATCATGAATTTAGAATGCTTCTTCATAAAATGAATTCTAATTCAAAGTGTTTAGTAGTATATTTGAATAAATTAATGCTTCTAAGTTTCAAAGTAAGTGACGTTAAAGAAAATACGTTTAATTCTGTTTAAGTCTACAGACTTATCTCACGTAAACTTTATATCCGGAAATATCATTAATTTGAAGTTAGGAAATAACAACGTAACACGATTTTTATCACAGATTATGATTTCAGAAATAATAAATTATGGCCATTTTGTAGTAAATATCAGGTTGAATTTTTTGTTACGAACTAGATTATTATAAAAGTATTAACATTTGATAGTCAATATTATAAACGAAAAATATACTGAAACATGTACCAATAAGACAATAATTGAGTTGCAGTAGTGTAAAGGCATTGCTTGTTTTTCAAAGTTTACTGCAATTTCATACTTTTCCACTCATAACAATTGAAGTAAAGGCGAGTGCAGTCGATGTTAATCAGTCTTAGAATGAAAAATTCTACAAAGAAAACAGTTAAGAGTTTCATTATGAGAAAAGGTTTTTTGTGGAGATTTTAGTAATTTTATGGTTGAAATCATGAATCAATTGCTGAGGAGTCCACTATATGATGAAACGGCTGTCCAGTGCTTCCAGGTTTTCCATGGTAGTCTATTTTAAGTTGACTCACGATTTCAACTATTAAAGATTTATGTTTGATAGCACAAATATTTCAGTTATCAGATTCAAAATTTTCATCAAATAAACTTCAACTATATACCACATAACATACTGTGTATAACTCTTCAACTAATGTTTATATTTTGTTTCAAATTAGAGAATCAATATTTAACTAGTTAAAGTCTGGAAAAGTTAACTTTCAAGGGTGAAAGGGAAAATTGTCAGGCTTGTTATCTTCTATCAAAATTTGTTCAGATTTCTCTGTGCGTATTGAATATGTTGTCTAACAGATTTTAAATTATGAAATATTTCTTGGCAAATTTTGTTACCTTTTGTATACTCTATTGCATTCTTTAGGATATTTTAATTAAATGTTACTGTGTTGATATTCTGAAAACATTCCTTTCTAAAGGGCTCTTCATATCCGATATTTGACAGAATATAATGCTTTTCTAAACTCACTTATTCAACATGAAACACTTTAACCCACTTAACATGATTTAGCTACCAAACGTTTTTAAATTTACGAAGTACATCACACTAGTGAGCTAAGGTTAAACCAAAATTTAGTTCTATTTTCTTGAACGAATAAAAAGTTTGGTTTTGAAATTTGTTTTAAAGTTATATATATATATATATATATATATATATTCCATTAATCGACTCATGAATTCAACTAATAAAAAGTACTACCTTATCCCAAAAAAAATTCTGATTATAATAAATATGTGCTCACTAGTGACTGGCTTCAAGATGGATTTCCTGGAGTTCTAGTGAGAAGCTGTGACTAGTGGAGTTCAACCGGGTCTGTTTTAGAGGTAGTTACTCACTGAAGACAATGAT